TTAGAATTCTCTATCTTATAGAGTTCCAAAAACTCTATTCACGTCACCTTTACTAATAAAACTTTATGTGACTTAGTTACACTACCACAAAGCTGCTTACCTATATGCACATGACCTGGAGGGTTTGCATGACCGCACACAATAATGCGCCACACGACCCTTTGTGTTTACAAGACAGCATACAATAATGCGCTATAGAACCCTAGGTTTTAACTTCACAATCTTATGAGAAGTAAAATAAAGATAAGCTGCTCAACGGTTACAGATCGCCCATTGATGGCTCTCCGCTAACCTGTTACTCAAAATGTAGTGTAGAATCTGATATGGAGGGCACTTAGTTAGGGATATAGGCAACAAATTAGTGCAATTTCCAATTGGAAAACATTTTGCGCCATTATCCACCTAACATTAACAATATTTTAATTCCTTATCTCTACTACACCATTGTGCTGTTGAGTACTAGGAATAATCAATTTTCTAAGCATCCATTTCTCTACACAGAGTTTTCTGAAAAATAACTCAAAATTGATACTCGCCACCTTGGTCAAAACTAAAAACACAAAAGCTCTTATCTAATTGATCTCGACCTCTTATGTGCAATGTCAAAAATCATCTCAAAACTTTTGACTTATGGGAGATCAAATAGTCTTGACTCAGATGCGTATCATAATCTATAAATGTGTCGAGATTGAGGCTTAGCTATCATACCCTTACACATATCTAGTCACAAATATCATAGAGGACTAAAAGCGCCAATACAAATGACCTTCTACGGCTTTCCTACTTACTTGTGCGCACCCATTACGAACAAAGTTACACATTCACATGAGAGCAGGATGTCATAAGCGAGTGGGCCCGAGAACGCAATAACCTCTCTAGATATTTTTTGGTGACCAATTTGCGTTCATTCTTAATGCGCCCAACTAGCGCAGATGCGCCCAACTAGCGCATTGAATCTTACAAGGAGAAAATTAATATGCTTCTAGTAAAGCATTTTATCCACAGTCTAATGAGCAAGGTCAATGTCTAAACAACTCAGTTGACCATTTACCAAAGATAACACTTATTATGCCAAATACGCCCACATAGCGTACTTTAGGCTCCCATAACAAAGAAGATCAAGGAATATAGGTCAACTGTTTCTCCCAAAGACAATCCGAGGATTCACTCAATAGCTAAGGCTCTGGCTTTTACCGATAGGTAAGTCAATGGGTTTGCAATTTTGCATCTAGAATCGTTCTAGGATATTCCTTATGTAAGTCATCGAAGACAAACCGAGAATTTTCCTAAAACAATCCCTAAGGATCGTACATCCGAGCATATAAATTACATCACCCATGTCCATCATATCTAAAATAGAGGACTGCCCACCCTAGGTGGCGACAACCTTATAAATTCCTGGCTCATAATGACTAAGTAAGGAAAAAACTTCTTTTGGACCATTGATCATGCCTCAGTGGTCTTCATCGATCATCGTTGGCCTATCATGGCTAGACGAAATCTAAGAACCACTGTTTGGATAACTACTTTAAGCTGTAAAAGATTTATTGGAACTAGCAACCTTTTTGCGCTCCTAACTTTTCACCATAAAAGCAGAAGGTAAATCCCAACGGATATACTTATCCAATTCTCTAACAAGAAATCGGGTCACAATGTCCACAAATCAATGTTCCGAACTTATGTCAATCATAGCCTAAGTCAAAATAACCTCACTCCCTAGGAGGAAGTCTTCTCATGGTCTACACTTTCCTCAATGGTGCGACCATTCGGTATCTAGCGAGCCTTATGCCTCAAAAATGACTATCCAAATTACGCATAACTTTAGAACAGTTTCGCGTCATAATGGAAAGTCAACCAAATTATAAAAAATGGTTAATCCTCAAAGAATTTGTCTTAAACTGCGCAACATGGATCCACTTTCTAAAAATAGGGGACTAGAGCTTTTGGGGGTTTTTTTATTTTTTTATCATCTTGCGGAGCAATCATGAATGTTGCCT